TCGTCCACACAGCTGCCGCTCACTGGATATTTTCTCTTTTTTGGACCATTCTCTGTAAACCCCAGAGATGGTTTTGTGTGAAAATCCCGGTAGATCAGCAGTTTCTGAAATACTCCTGACAACCATGCCACGTTCAAAGTCACTTAAATCCCCTTTCTTCCCCATTCTGATACTCTGTTTGAACTTCAGCAAGATGTCTTGACCAAGTCTACATGCATAAATGCATTGAGCTGCTGCCATGTGATTGGCTGATTAGCTATTTGTGTTAACAAGCAATTGAACACGTGTACCAGGTGAAATAAAGTGGCTGCTGAGTATATATATTTACTGTATTCATGTGTATTAGATAATGATGATCCTGAATATTTGGGGCAGATTTGGATCGATCTTAAAAAACAAGAATAATGAAAAGTATGGATGTATTTTGGTGTAGGGATGTTTTTCATTATTTGGGCCCCTTAGTTTCAGTTAAAGGGCGTCAACGCTGAACATCAATGGCCAACCTCACTGACGCTCTCATGGCTGGGAGCAAATCCCTGCAGCCAGGGCCCAAAATCTTGTTGAAAGCCTTCAAAGAAGAATGGCAAATGAATGCCCATCATTTTGCAACTATCACATGTGGCTGTAATGTTCAGGTGTCCGCATACTTTTGGCCAGGTGATGAATCATTTAAAAACCCAATAGTGGCTAATAATATCAACCAGCATGCATCGGTCTGGCTCAAATATGTACTGTACATGCATGAGGAAGATGGCTGTGGGGGAGATGAGGGCAGAAAAAGGGGAGGGGGGGGGGGCAACTAATTCAATAAGCCATTTCTCCTTTGGTATGTCATCATACTCTCTCCCAATGATTCTCTCCTTCTTTGTCCCTCCTGACTGCCTGCATCCTCTGTCACAAACACCTCTGACTACCCACCCCTCCATCACTTTCTCTATTTTTCCATCAGCCTTTTCCTCTTCCTTTCTTTCTTTCCTACCCTGCCTGCTTTCCACCATCTCCTCCTCTCTCCCACTCTTCTCCCACCATCCTCCTTCCTTGAGGATTAGCGAGCCGAGCGCAGGGAGCAGCAGTGGCGGTTTGCTGCTGCGCCCGTGTGCGACGACCTCTGTTTACTCTGATAATAGGGATTGGGAGCGGGCTGCTTGGCTTCCAAGCAGCATCCACGGGGACTTCATTAAATCAGTCCTGAAAACAAGAGTCATGTGAGGCGAGACTCCACAAAAGCTTGCGCTCTAACCCTCAACATATCTAATCCTTAGCAGCAGGTTTAAATTGTATAGGTGAATTTCTGAGAATACACAGGCATGTAAGATTGGAGATATATGACACTGAAAAAAAAACTGCAGAGCACTGGGACTGTGACATGAATCAGGACACACACGACATTATGCAGTCTTATGAGAAGTCAAGAAATGCTTTTACTATATGAGGAAGGGGCTGAATACAAAGAGGCAGCTCACTGTGTATACTAGAGCTGCAGACTAATCAGTCCCTCCTGGGGCTAGGCTTGTAAGTTCACAGGCAATGTGGCTTTTAAAAAAAAATCTGTATTCAGTTTATAATGTAACTGTAGTGCTTCTTACCATGTCAACCAAATGACTAGTTTGAGGTGTTGAATAAGAGGTGGCTTGAATTTGCTAACCTTAAAAATCATTCACTGGAGATCAATCGGAAAAACTTGGTCAGAGTCCTACATAGCCTGGGGGCGAGCGCTGCCTGAGAAGACAAGTTCCGGGAAAGCAGAGTCATCCCCATTGCAGTTTAGTGAAAGTCTGCTTATGGATTGAGGCTTGATTTTTACTTTATTTTTGGCTTGTAAAAGTAGTTCTGAGTTTAATTAATTAATGTCCAAATCTGCAGTGATTGATGGAATTGAAATTCAAATTGGACTGACCAATGATTATTTTCATATTTTCATTAGCTTAATCTTTCCACTTTCTTCTCTCTTTCCTTTTTTGATAAAATGAGTCTCGAGCTATTTATCTTTCAATTCTCACAATTTTACCTGGAGATTACATTTTGGTATTTTGAGAGCAGGAACATAATCTGAGCCAAAAATAAAGTCTTTTTTTAAGTATTACAAAGCATCTCTTCTTCTTCTTAACGAGTCATTTCATCTTCTATTTGGGGCTGAAGGCCCATTTTTGTTTTAACAATTGAAATCATCTGCCTCTGAAATGGTTGTGTGTTCTTTTGTTTCTATTCTATTTTAACTCCATAATTGTTGGCTGAAGTAAATGGAAAAACCTGAAATTATTTGACATCGTGGGCACACTTTTAGACTTTAAGTCAGAAATATAGGCCTCAAATGAGCATGCATGTTACTGAACAAAATTATAAACGCAACACTTTTGTTTTTGCCCCAATTCATCATGAGCTGAACTCAAAGATCTAAGACTTTCTCTATGTACACAAACGGCCTATTTCTCTCAAATATTGCTCACAAATCTGTCAAAATTTGTGTTAGTGAGCACTTCTCCTTTTGCCGAGATAATCCATCCACCTCACAGGTGTGGCATATCAAGATGCTGATCAGACAGCATGGGTATTGCACAGGTGTGCCTTAGGCTGGCCACAATAAAAGGCTACTCGAAAATGTGCAGTTCTATCACACAGCACAATGCCATAGATGTCGCAAGTTTTCAGGGAGCGTGCAGTTGGCATGCTAACTGCAGGAATGTCCACCAGAGCTATCTGAATTGAATGTTCATTTCTCTACCATAAGCCGTCTCCAAAGGCGTTTCACAGAATTTGGTAGTACATCCAACCGGCCTCACAACCGCAGACCACGTGTAACCACACCAGCCCAGGACCTCCACATCCAGCATCTTCACCTCCAAGGTCGTATGAGACCAGCCACCTGGACAGCTGCTGCAACAACCGTTTTGCATAACCAAAGAATTTCTGCACAAACTGTCAGGAACCGTCTCAGGGAAGCTCATCTGCATGATCGTTGCCCTCATCGGGGTCTCGACCTGACTGCAGTTCGTTGTTGTAACTGACTTGAGTGGGCAAATGCTCACATTCGATGGCACTTTGGAGGGGTGTTCTCTTCACGGATTAATCCTGGTTTTCACTGTACAGGGCAGATGGCAGACAGCGTTTATGGCGTCGTGTGGGTGAGTGGTTTGTTGATGTCAACGTTGTGGATCGCGTGGCCCATGGTGACAGTGGGGTTATGGTATGGGCAGGCTTGTGTTATGGACAACAAACATAGGTGCATTTTATTGATAGCATTCTGAATCCACAGAGATACTGTGACGATATCCAGAGGCCCATTGTTGTGCCATTCATCCACGACCATCACCTCATGTTGCAGCATGTTGCAAGGATCTATACACAATTCCTGGAAACTGAAAACATCCCAGTAATTGCACTGCCAGCATACTTACCGGACATGTCACACATTGAGCATGTTTGAAATGGTCTGGATCCGGGAATACGACAGCGTGTTCCAGGTCCTGCCAATATCCAGCACCTTCGCACAGTGGACCAACATTCCACAGGCCACAATCAACAACATGATCAACTCTATGCGAAGGAGATGTGTTGCACTGCGTGAGGCAAATGGTGGTCACACCAGATTACCGACTGGTTTCCAGACCCCCCTGGATCCCCCAGTACAGTGAATCTGCACATTTTCTAGTGGCCTTTTATTGTGGCCAGCCAAACGCACACATATGTGCAATCCCCATGCTGTCTGATCAGCACCTTGAAATGCCACACCTTTGATGGATGGATTATCTCAGCAAAAGGAGAAGTGCTCACTGACACAGATTTTGACAGATTTGTGAACAATATTTGAGAGAAATAGGCCTTTTGTGTACATAGAGAAAGTCTTAGATCTTTGAGTTCAGCTCATGATGAATTGGGGCAAAAAAAAAGTGTTGCGTTTATAATTTTGTTCAGTGTACATTTCAAGAATAACATGGCAATAAAAGACTGAATGACATTCTGCAGTCAGTGTATCACTTGTCTGCTTTTAAAGTTAATCTAGAGCGTATATAGTAGAATGGTAGAAAGTCTTTCTTCCACACTGTCACATGTATTGATCTACTATGTTGATATATTTATGTTTATAATTTTGTTCAGTGTAGTACTCGTCCATCACCAGAGACTAACACGATACTAATAATGGCTGTTGTAAGGCACAGCGCCATGGCAACAGCCTCCAATCTCAAAATATCTTTAATTTGCAAGTTTAGGGGACATTTTTCTTAAACAAACCAAAAACTGGTTAAACACCTGTCTTCAATGGAAAAGCAGACAGAGGGTCACTCACTTACAATTTTGAATCCAAATAAAATGGTACAGGTAATCTAGATAAACTGTTGTTGTTTACAACACCTGTTCGTGATTGTCCCACTGGACTTCACTGTAGCGATGTTGCCGTGTTCCCAAATCTCATCAATAACCTTCATGCTTATGTTTTTAGGTATAAAATAAAGACTTTCTTTCCTTGTGAACCTATAGCAAAACGACTATTTACATCAGGTTTCATCCTAAATTGGTTAATTTAACTACACAGATATTTAAAGACTGTTAAAAGATGTAATATAATGTAAAATGTAAAATCCTGCCTGGCCAAAGTAGTGTCTGTGTGAAGTGAGGTGAGGAGATAAGTATAATGTTGAAAATGTGAGTGTATGAGTTGAGTCAGACGGGGCTAGATGCCCGGCCTTTGGTTAACTGCAGCCAGCACGGAATCATGAGGTGTTCCTGTCATTAGAAGACATGGAGCTCCTGCTGAGAGTGATATCAAAGGGCCACAGTTGGTGCTGCTGCTGTGCCAGCTACCTGCTGATTCAACACGTCTGTCACCACCGCCACGCCGGGCCAGGGATCACACACAGGGAGGAGGGTCAGATGGAGAGATGGATAGGGGAGAAGAGGCGAGGGTGTGTGTGTGTACATGTGTGTCCGTGTTTAGTCGTGGATGGCTGGAAAGAGAAGGAAAGAGTGTTCCGAGCGCAGGACAGGTTAGAGACATTACTCACTGTCCTCCGAAGAGCTGCATGCCCAGCAGAGCGAAGACCACGATGAAGAGGAAGAGAAGGAAGAGCAAGCTGATAATGGACTTCATGGAATTGAGCAGGGAAACCACGAGGTTCCTCAATGAGTTCCAATATCTGAGCATAAGCAGCAAAAACGGGGAGAGACAAAGACATTGTTTCCATTATACATTGCTCTGTTAAACAGGCAGTAAAATGATAAACAGATTCAGACAAGCAATGCTTGAAAAAAAAAGACAGAAATAACCAAAACAGAGGAGGAAACAGAGGAACAAATGGCCATATGAGCTGTAGGTGGCCTAAAAGGAATCAATGCGTCAGGGTCTAAAGCTGCCAGTGTCAGTGAATCACAGGATTACAGCTAATCTAATGAAATAAAAGGCTTGCCATCAAACTCTAACAGGATTGTCAGTTCAGAGAGAAAAGAATTAAGTACGCCCTGAGAAAAAGTACAGCTACTGCTACATAAAAACCTGGCATCTCCAAAATGTAGCTATTTAAAAGAATTTGATACATTGGAATTGAAATAATGACATGATTAAGTTTGTGAACCCTTAAGTGGGTTTTTTTTGCATGGTTTTCACTTAAATTACACTACCGCATTCTACTACATAGGTGTGGTTAGGCATGCATTATAACGTTATTTTCAGAATAGGTCAGTCTATTCATCACTTGGTATGACCATTGTACAAAACTTTTTATGTAAAAAAGAAAAGTTAGAGTTTTTTTGGAAATAAGCAACAATTAATTTAGATATGAGTAAATTAATTAATAGAGACATTCTGAGACGGAAAAAATCACGTACTGTAAAGCTGCATTCCTCTGATTGTACACATCAATTTAGACAATTCACTCTACCAGTCCCTGCAGGCTATATTGCCTTTTAAATTATGTGGTGCAGCACAAGCTTTCCAGGTGTTTTCTTTATTGTGCGGTGTATTGACGTATGAGTGTTTTCTCTTCAGCAATTTACTTTAATGATTAGAGAGGCTGCTTTCAGTCATTTTAAACATTTCCATGAGTGCAATAATGTCACAGCAAATAATGTGGGATATTTAAGAATCTAAGCATCAGGAGGACGGCAGCTTTGCTCCAAACAATTTCACTGTGTGAACCTGGACTGTGTGTGTGACCTTTTGGGATGTGCAGAAGAACACAGAGCATTAATTAACATTAGATTGTCGGATAAGACTACTGTCTGTAGTTTAGAGTGTGTGTTTGAATTGAACTCACTTGGTGACTTTGAATATCCTGAGCAGTCTCAGGGCTCTCAGCACACTGATACCAAACGATGCTCCTGGTTTAATCATGTCCCAGATCACCTCACAAATACTCCCCACAATCACCTAGAGAGGAAAGCACATGATGAAGTTTGCATCTGCCGTATTTGGCTCCGTTTCAAAAAGCCAAACAAGATAAGCAGACTGGCTCTCCATCCAAACAGAACTGTCACCGCTGGCTAGTGTAAAATATCTACCTTTGAGTCACAGCTGACACTAACTTACCCCAAAATCAAAGCAGTTAAAGGAGGAGTGGAAATAATTCCTCACTCCAAGGCCGTACATCTTCAAGGACATCTCAGTCAGAAACAAACCCAGGAACACAAACTCTGCTGTGTCTGTTTTCAAGATGGACAGAGTAAAACAACCAAGAAAAAACTGTTTTAAAGACCATTTAAAAGTGTGTGGGGGTGTGAGTGTGTATTCTTATGTGTGACTTACAGAGGGCCCTTGTGAGCCACTCAGGCTGGTCATAGTGGACTATGGCCACACACAGAGTATTGAGGCCCACCAGACACAGAACGATCCAGTAGAAGCTCTGAGCTTTCACCATGCGGCGAATGAAGAACCGGGTCCTCTTCTCCTTACGCCGGAAGTAGGAGGAGCTGTCCAATTTACTGCTGCTTTTCACACTGGCCCTACCAAACGGAGAAGCCGGAGGAGCTGAAAGCAATGATGGAGAAAAGTGAGGGAGTGAATGCATGAGTGTGCAGTGGTGAAATATTTGTCATTGTTTCACAGTTTTCACAGTAAATCACTGTGATTCTCTTGTTTTCTTCCTGCTACTGTGATGAGCAGCATCCCCCGTTCTTTCCCCACTCATCAAGATTATAATTATAATGTTGGTTACATAATGTTGGTAAAAATATGCATTTTGCACAACATTATGGTTACTTTTCTGGCTCCAAATTAATCTTCTTTCACTGAGTTGGTTCAAGTGATCCAGCTGAGTTTATGTTTAGGAGAAACAGGTGGTGGAGGACAACTTTGGTACTTATTTTGGAGTAATATTGCACTTGCTTTTCTGCAGCAGAGTTGTTCAAGGAGAGCCAACAGGCCACTCCAAAATAAAAACACATAAAAAAATACTTTTAATGTGTTGATTTTGAATGTATCATGTAGTGCCCTCTCAGTTCATATTTGGACTGCTGTACTTATACCTATGTTAGTATTTTGGAATGTTTTGCTTCACTGAATTGAATGCTGTGATCCTTCTAATAATGATTTATCCATGCTGCTCCACACTCATTTTCTGCCAGTTTTCCAGTCTAGCAAGCCAGGATTGTAATTGTGCCTCTGGTTATCGAAACTGCAAAAATTGCATTGCAGTGCGTTTGAGTGGAGAGTGCTACTACCAAGTTACAAGAAATTAGAGCTCAAGGACCTCAAGGTTTTTCAGAGTGAAGTGTAACAGCATGGTTGGGTAGGGCTCCATTCCACTTCACATCTGCTAACAAGCACAGAAAGTTGTTTGCGGCCAAGACTTTAACTGATAAAAGTAACAATATCTACTCAAGGGACAGAAAGAAAAGCATAAAATCACCTGAATAATCCTTGAATTTTCCTTGCAGCTGCTAATTAAAAAATATGCACCAAATACATATGTGCCGTGCACCACGGCTGCAGGCATCATGTGTGATGAGAGATGAAATTTGACTGCGCAGTGCATCTTTTCCCTTGGCACATAATTTTATGGAAAACAGTAGATTAGATGGGAAAAAAGTAGCGAAGGCAACAAAATGGTTTCAGTTACCTTGCTTATGCTCATTTCCAACCCACAGACAAGCATTTACATGTTGTCTTTGCGTGGAAACATTAAGCCCATTAATATAAAAGTGTCTAATTTTAATATGCTGCAGGTGATTCTCTTGCTATTTTAATTTAACGGTCTAATTAGAAAAGTTAATTATACTTCTTTCCCCTGAAGTTGGCGAGGATATGTGCAGGAGAAACGGATGGAGCTGAATCTGCTTTTGTCGTGTACATTGTTACGTTTGTGTGAGATATTGAACAAAATGTTTTATGGTGCTGAGATGACATGACAAATACTAATCTGATAAATGGAGACCAGTGAGTCAGTGACATGGCTATGTTCATTGTAGAAGACAGGCTTTTATGGTGGCTTTCATTGTAAAGGTCGACTCTGTGAACAGACAGCATGCGACGGTCAGAGGTGATCCGCTGGTGGCCGCGGATGAAAAGATGTCTTACCAACGGAGGAGATGTCTGCGAAAGGGTCCTCCCCCTCCTCAGCACCGATCAGGTCATTTTTACCTTTCTTGGCTTTGCCTCGTTTCAGGACTGTAAAGAGAACAGCACAGACAGGAAAGGAAAAATAATCATGAGTCCTAAAATATATATAGTAATAGTAATACAGGGAATGGTGTTCGTCTGTTATGCAAAACTTCTTTAGTATAAACCTTTGAAAGTTAAGCAGGAAAAACAAGCATTTTCAAATTGTGTTTTAATGGAACAATCCTTATCCCAATTCATAATATGTGTGTGTGTGGGGGGGGGGGGCAAAGTGGAAGGGGTGAGCTAATTGGAAACTATGAATAGCAGGCATCAATCATGTATTTCATTTGGAGATTTTCTGCCTTACTATTTGAAGCCAGACTTGGAATGAAAAACTGCCAGCGTGACCAGCTCCATGTCACCGTAGTGGTGGGCTCATTCTTGAGATCTACAACCCTGTGCCTCCGCTCATCTCTGCCGGGAGGCAGAACCACGCAGCGAAACAAACAAAGCTCTGAGACTGAGAAACACTAGCAAACTAAACACTAAAAATTCTCTTTATTATCAAATCATTATTGACTATAATTGACGGCTAAAAAAGCTCATTTTGAAACAATCTGCCAGTGCAGTAAAAAATTCAAATTGAAACAAACTTCAAAACAAAAATCTCGATTTGACCCGGTGGGTGTAACAAGGTTAATTTAAAATCACATAAAATGTTTCACTCATTTTAAGATGATGAACACTATAAGGTTATTTTAGCACTGAGTAAAATATGTTATAGGAATTTCGTCTAAAGAATATTTAATTTGAAAGAACAAACTACCTTAAGTTCACCCATTTTTTAAATCTCTAAATGAAATATCCAGCCTGAAGGATAATTTCCTCAATTTCTTATCTCCAAAGACTAGGTATATGGTGGTTCAGAATAAAGAACACCTCTACTAAGTCAGCCAGTTTTGATTGGCACTTGACTCTACTACTCATGCCTGTCATTCATTTCTGCTCTAAACAAATCAAAGTGGTTTTTCTATGGCTGTGAACATTCTAATCCCTGATATGTAACTAATTGAGAAAATAAGGAAGCTGGGTGCTGTCACTTGACTGTTTCCTGTGTGTCCGTTCACTAGCAAATGCATTTCTATATATGTATGTGTGTGTGTGTGTGTGTGTGTGTGTATTAGGGAGTATAGTATAGTGAACTTTTAGTTTACTTTACAAATCCAGACTAAAGCTGAAAATCCCACTAATTAACTCTTGCCTTCACAATAGGCCTAATGGATATCATGGGAGAGAGAGAGAGAGTTCTTCCCTTCCCTTTAAAAGAGATTAAAGTCCACATCTATATATAGATTTTAAGAAACAGTACACATTTCATATTTTGTGAAATAAGTTTATTTGCTTTCTAGCCGAGAGTTGGATTAGATGATTGATACCACTCACAACACACAACATGTCTGTTTGGTGAATGTGAAGCTACAACCAGGCGACAGTTAGCTTAGCCTAGTATTAAGCCTTAACAGGGAAACAGCTAGCCTGGATCTGTCCAAAGGTAAAAGAAAAAAAAAGTGAAAATCGGCAACTTTAAAACTCACTAATCAACATGTTATATCTGGTTTGTTTCACTTAACCAAATGCTGAATATTACAAGTCAGGGTTTTATGTCTTGTCACTGTGAGGTAGCCAGGCAGCCAGCTGAGACTCCGCTAAAAAAACAGTTCCTAATGGTTTCTCAATAGGTATTTTTATCTAAATACTGAAGACTCTGAAGAGGTGTTTGTGTATGGTTTTTAACTTAAAAAGTCCTTGTAATGATGCACCTAACTGTGAGAAAGTATGCACTTTGCTGGTTTCCACATAGGATTTATTGCTCTAACAGGTCCAGATTCATTTAAAGCCTTTTTATTAGCTAAATGGCTATCAAGTAACTGCCTCATTCTGGACAATAATCAAATCAGTAAAAAATGTCTGAGATTTCATATAAACCTACATTCTACTCCACAGGCGTCCCTAAAGACTGTATTGTGAAAAGTGGGTTTTAAGTATGCTGCTCCCTCTGCTTGGAATCAGTTGCATTATCTGAATCTTCGGGAGCTGGTTTAAATGATTTAAAACGACTTTGAGGCAGGCACATCTGGCTGTAGATGTTTTGAGTGACTGATCCCTTTGATCAATGATATTGATGACTTGTGATGACTTTTGATGAATATTTGTTATAGTTTATGATGCTGTGTTATTTTATTTCTGATGATTTAGGAATGATTTATGCACAGCACATTGACACTCCAAAAAAAACTATTGTATGAAAACATAAATACAACAGATAACAAAACCTGTTTTCACCTGGAAGGTTTTGTTTCCTCTTGTACCACGCACCATCCAGTGGGGACTTCTCCTCTGCAATCTCATCCTCCTCCTCCAGCAACACCTCCTCTGCAGCAGGAGAAAGAAAGGAGAGAGGGACTTTCTATCAATTTGTCATGTTTTTGTAACACAACAAACACATGCATGCCAGCTCTCACCCTGTTCCAGAGATGATTCTAACCTGCTTTGCAGATCCACTCCAAGTATCCGGTTAGCTCTCTTTCGATCTGCTGCTGCCTCCGAAGCTTCAGGAACTCCTGCCTCTTCTCCACACGCTCTCTCTCTTTGGCAAATTCTCTGTTAAAACATATACAGAGATGTATATAAATAGAAACATAGAAAAATTTGATCATATTTGGCAACAAGGGGGGGGGGGGGGCAGACATATGCCAGTAGAGAACCTGTACATTCACAGCAACAAACAGTGAATTACAAGACCAACAAATCTGTTACACAATGCATCATAAAAATGGATAAAATAGCAGTTCAAGTCTTCATCTGAAGGATTATTAACTGTGGAGTTCAGATGACAGATGGGCTGCTTTTGAAGCACGAAGGAGGAAAAAGGCTGTTGCCACAGCTGGAGCTGAAGAAGACAAACAGTGGAGTGTTATGTACTGGCATGATGTATGAGATGTTGGACTTATAACAAAATACACTATAAAATGTTATACCACAACAGCATTATACTGTTTATAGGTAGTTATAGTTAAGTTAATGAAAAAAAAAAAATTAATTACACTTAATTAAAGGAGACATATTATGCTTTTCCATGTTTTATGTTCATGTTAGACATGGCCAAAGGTTCCCTGTGAGCCAAAAATTCAGATTTCTTCATGTTCTAAACGCTCTATTCTGAACAGCTTTTTCTACCAACCATTCTACGACACACAGAGCTAGACGGAACCAATGAGAAGACAGTGGGCTTTAAAGAGATAGGAGCAGCTACAGCTTGTTTCAGACAGAGGCTGAAATAAATGCCTAGGTGAAGAGCCAGGAAATTATTTTTTTGAACTTTGAATCATGCAAAGCTGCCATACTGGAGTCACAGAACTACAATATAGTAATGGAAAAGCAGTATAATAGTCTCCATTAAAGGAATTGTATGACATTTTGGGAAATACTCTTATTTGCTTTCTTGCCGAGAGTTAGATGAGAAGATTGATACTACTCTCATATCTGTATGCTGAAAACAAAGCTATAGCCAGCAGGCAACTAGCTTAAAATTACTATGACGAATGGACATAGAGAGAAACTGCTAGCCTGGCTCTGCCCAAAAGTGAAATAAATCTGTCAACCAGAACCTCTAAAGTTCACTTATTAACCTGTTATCTCTTCATGTTTAACAAACAGATATGAGATGGCAGCGATCGTCTCATCTAAATCCCAGCAGGAAAGAAAATAAGCGTATTTCCCAAAATGTCAAATACTTTCTGTTGTATTTCACATACTGGTACAGTAACAGCACAAGCACAGGACAACAAAGTAAACTACTCCTTATCTTAGAATTAAGTTTTGACAGGCAGAACGACAGCAAAGCTGCTTTTGCGGTGGGTTTCTTGTGACCTTCAGACTAATGAACATGCACATGTTTGCTTTCATCCAGATTTTAGTGAGGCAATGGGGTGGGAAGTGAGAACAGAGTCTTTGCGACCACAGACACAATGAGATGGACAGACGTCAGATCCAGGAGCACAGAGGGCCGGGATGATTAAAGCCACAGAGCAAGGTCTTTTATTTATGACAATAAAAAGGAGAAGCGCTCAGGGAGGAGGAGGAGAGGTGAATGATTCATTCATTTAATCAATTTATCCACAAGCCGTGAGATAACGTTCTTCTCTATTTAGTAGCAGTTAACAGACAGGTGGGATACTATCCCAATAAAGACTTGTTTATCATGTACGAAAAGAAAAACAACATTTTGAACCCCAGTCGGTTTGACATGCAAATGACATTTTTATAATCCAATTTTACTGGGGTTTTTTGAGTAACAATTGGATTGGGAACACAAACTAATTCAAGGAATCTTTTTAAAAACAGCATAAATAATAAATAATTAGCCATGATCAGCATTTATTACATCTAATATGGAATTTGTACAGCTATGTTATGAGATGACTTACCCTGATAGGACACCAAGTACCAGGTTGAGCATGAAGAAGGAGCCTATGATGATGAGGGGGATGAAGTAGAGCCAGTTCCAGGTGTTTCCTGCTACATCATTGGTCTGGACACACAAACATACACAGAGATGTAACACAAAAAACCCCACAGAAGATATTTAAGAATTCAAGAGCAAGTCATTACCATTACACACATTATACCTTGCACCAGGGAATTAAATATAGGTTTTCCTCATATTAACAAATATCATTTTTAAAAAGCAATTAAGTTAAGAATGGGGATTAGGGTTACATGATATATTCCATATGTCTACTGTCAGGTACCACTGCCTCGCCACGCGTTCTATATAGATAGTGACAGACAAAAAAAATTTGTGTTTAGTTGAAATGTTTAGTAACCTGCCAGAGTGGCAGGAGAGAAAAATAACGGAATTTCAGACCCTGCCCAGCAGATATATAAAATTAATTTGTCTGCATATAATAAATAAAGTCTTAGCATAGTTTGAGTCTTCTCATTTAAAGTTCAATTTATTGCTGCTGCGATGGGTGAAGTGGGAAACCTAATCCATAAAAAACAAAATGCAAACGTTCACCAGTAGATATAAACTCCTGGATCGTCAGCTCTTTTTATTTTCTTGAAATCACCTTGCTCTCACAATGCTCTGTACTTGTATAGCGCCTTTCTAGTCTTTGTGACCACTCAAAGCGCTTTTACACTACATCGCATTCACCCATATTAACACACTGAGCCTAATTTCTCAAACAGAAACTAACATTCACACACATTCATACACTGGTGGAACAGCCACCAGAGGCAGTTCAGGGTTTGGTATCTTGCCCAAGGACACTTCGACATGCAGCCTGGAGGAGCCGGGGATTGAACAGGCGATTTTCTGAATAACGGGCAACCTGCTCTACATCCTGAGCCTAATGTTTCATTACTAATTAATCTGTGTGCTCAACTTTAGTAGTAATAGTAGTTTAGTTGAAATAGTAAAAGAATATGCCCCAAATGAAAAGTCAATTGATTTTTTTTCTGGTTTTAAATCAACCAGCTTGAGCTGACAGTGTATGAACGTGTTTCATCCTACTCTCCCATTTCTCACCCACAGCTGTGAATCAATTTTTTACAGACTTGGCTGACTGAACAAATACGTTTGTCAACTTGCCTCATTAAAAAAAATATTGAAAACTTTTCAAAAAAAAATAAAAAAATTACAATTAAAAAAAAAAGGTCTCTGTCATCTCTGTGAGCTTCGAACCAAAAACACAAAACCCACCAACAAATCTCCCACTAACAAAAAGCTCAGTCTGCTATCACAGCAAAACAACTGTTTAATCCAACACGGGTTACAGCTCTGAAACATCCACTTCGAATGAGCTGTCCACAGACAAATAAGTATGACAATTCATTCTTCTGATATGAGTCGTCCTGGCTGTGACTTACACTCTCACAAACAGAGCAGCGTGCACACACACACACAAATACAAGCAGACAACTAACTGCAGTTGCTTTTTAGCGGCCAATGACTACCTCTGCAAAATTATTAATTTATGCTGATTCATCGTTTATCAGATGTTACAGTGCACAAACTGTGGATACCCAAACAAAGTATAATGGACACCTGAATATTAAGCCCATATATGGTCGCTGAACATGCCATTCCAAACCATAGGCAATAATATGCTGTTACAACAGCCTCCTATGGGAACACTTTCTACAAGAGCATTAGTGAGGGTGGCCACTGGTGTTGGGTGATAACGCCTGGCTCACAGTTGCCGTTCCAGTGCCGTTCATCTCAAAGGTATTAGACGGGGTTGAGACCAGGACTGTGCAGGCCAGGCGGGTTCTTCCACACCAAACTGGGAGAACCATTTCTTCATGGACCTGGCTTTGAGCACAGGGGCATTATCATGGTGAATCAGCCAGGAAGAGGTTTTCAACTAACTGTTGCCAAAGTTGGATGGTCCATGCTGTAGAGTAAAAACTTCTCTTTATAGGAATTATTAAGTATTTGAACAGGGGTGTCCTCATACATTTGGCCAACTAATGTATTTCCCCCTAAATTCACGTATGGAAGGTTTTTACTGATACTGATATCCTTTAAACCCTTTTTAAGAGCAGACATTTGAACTTGTCATAGTTGGAAAAGCCCAGGTGTTACTAATGCAGTGGCTCTGTTCTTTTCAAGTGTAACGATAAGCCACGACAGTGTGACAGTGTGACAGTGTGACAGTGAGCCAGCATGCACAATACGAGGACCCTGAAACTGAAGCAGCTGAACGTCTAAATGTCTGCTGTGTATGTCCCTCAAAATGGAAACACGAAAACACTGACATGGCAAAACATCCTTAAATTGTAAGATGGGGTCAATAGCAGTCACAGATTTCACTTTCTTTTTTTTTTACACTGTTATTACGGTGGATTGTTTTAATACACACATCAGTTTAGTCAGATTTTATGTCCCCTCACAGGTTTCCGCTATGAGAGGACACTTAATTTCACAGTAAAATAAATCAGATGTTTTGTAAAATGCTTTTACTAACAGAAAAATATTATTCTACAAATAGTTTTTGAAATAATAATCAATATTAATAATCAAATGACTGTGTAGTTGTGAAATGGGTGCCTCAAGGTGACAAACCATGAGAGAATTATTATCCAACTCTTCATTCGCCCTCAGCTCTACAGAGTGTTTTAGCTTCATTGTTTTGGTTTTATAGCCGTTTACTTCAGTCTCATTGCTTTCATTAGCCTCGTTTCCAGCCGCAGCATGCCACAGTTTTTAGCTTTACACTTCCTTTCCAGCGCAAAATCGCAAACAGACAAAGTTTGCGACCAACTGGTGAACAGAGAGGAATATTTACCAGTTAAAGAGCCAGATGATTCCCTCCGGAGTTGGGGAACTGCAAAGCACTGGACTCAGGTGGCAAACCAGACTCCCAAATAATGAAAATGTTGCTCCGTAAATAGTCAATTGTTTGCTATGTCAACTATATGAGGTGACAATATGTCTGCAATGTGTTCACAGCTTGTTCTTGTCCAAATGGCCAAAAATTTACAGCTTTAAAAATCTGATGATTTTCCATAAATATGTGTAACATTGTTTTTTTTTTTCACCAGTTTTGTAATACTTAAAGTGCACACTGATATTTTATTTTTTTCTGGAATGATGAAACCCCCCCAAAAAACAAATAAGCCTTACATTTTATCCAAAGCACTTTGTGGTATTGGTAAGGTATCTTGTATTTTAGACTGTTTATACACTGAGCTACAACATGGCTAATATCCGTGCTTGTTTCCCCCAGGGGGGTCTGGGAGTCAGCACCCTCCATGTCTGAGAGCGCTACCACACAGCGGGGGACAGACCTCCGGACTGATGGGCTGTATGAAGCACAGTGACATTTTGCAGACGCCAGTGTCGGAGCGCTGCCACACGCTGCCCGTAATTATGATGGGAGGTTCGGGGCGGCTGAATCAGCAGGCTGGAGATCTATATTATGCACCCGAGTATGTGAGAAGAAGACACACACATATGCAGTAGCACTCCCTCTGTCTCAGCTGTCAGAGAAGCACCAGCCCACACACCACGATAAATGGCTGGCAGAAGCTTCACTGTGTTTCTCTGCATCATTTCTTTTTCTACGTGTCCAACATCTCATCACTGTCTCGTCACCTCACAGCTCAGTCTTCAAGTCTTTATATCTTTATCTCTTGCTTTCCACATTAAAGCAACTAAACTACAAGGAACTGTCATTTTGTGTTGATTCTGGCGTTCCCTGTGGAAAAAAAGCGTTTTCCCACTGTCTTGTGTAGTAGAGATCTTGATCAGGCTAGCGTGCGCATGTGTTTTGGAAGTATGTGAAAGAAAGACGCAACATATTTTTAATACCTTTTTAAACACCGCTGTTTGCAGGCGGTATAATGACGAGGTAATAAAGCTAAAGCTTTCAACATTCCCAAGTAATGTTATGTCTTGAGAACAACAAAAAGCCAACGTCATGATATCGGTAGCAAGGCCAACATAACGTGAAGCGTTATAAGCCAGTTGTATTACAGTAATATCCACCGTGACCTATACCTACATTGACTGTACACAGCCATAGATACTACATACCTTCTAGCAGGAAGAGGGCCAGTTGAGGATTGGTTTCAAATCCCTCTCCATCTGTTGAATGACCGATCAAGGATGATTCGTGTTTTTGCCCGTTAATTTTGACCGTCCCTTTTTCTCTTTGCTGATCTTGCCCCAGTATCAGCCATAACCACAAAATATAATGTCAAAAATAAAATCTCTCTATGTCTGCTGCATGTGATAAATAGGCAACATCTGTTAATGCATGCTTAAATTTTTCGTGTTTTTGTGTAAATAATACAATTTTGTATCTGTGATCAGAATTAGGTAACAAGTAGCTCTCTTTTCTGTTTGCAGTAGCAGCAGAGATCTTACTCCCTCTCTCTCTGGGGAACACGGGATGCCTGGTGTGGAGGAGAAAATGAAGTGGAAGTGCACTCTGTTGCGTCAGATTTTAGTCCCAGAGTCAGCTGGTGAGGCGGGAAGACTTTTCTCTCCTGTTGACACGGCCTTAATTCTTCAGCTGAGTGCCCAGGCGAGTTCAGTTGAGCTTGTGCAAATGTTTTTCAGATTCTGAAACACAGCAAGGTCTCTGCAGTGGAAGAGTGGCTGGTGTTCTCAGATTTAACAGGTCAAGCTATGCAATCGTGCTCAATCAATTTGATTTTGTGCTTCTCATGAGGATATTTAAGACTAATTGTTTTTGGTTGTTTCTTTTAAAAGTTTTGGGATGTATCAGTGTTAATTTAGAATATTACTATGACTACTAAAAAGCGTGGAAATTAGACTTTTAAAGAATCATTAATACAGATGAAACATTGATTTAAAAAATCAATTGCTGAATTAACCCTCAGTATAATCAGCAGGGGAGGTTTTGCATTTTCTCCTCATTCAGTTTCTTTTAACTGATCTCTGCTTGTTGCAAAGAGGACTTTGCTTTGTGTAACTACTGTACAGTTGCCCAAAAGCAAAAAGAACTTTTTGACTGAGAACATACAAGGCCAGTGTCACCATCATGAAATGCTGTT